AAAAAATACTAAATAACACGGACCACGATTCTGACATCAGATTAGGCGTTGAAAGTGCTTATTGAACACGGGAGTTTCCTGTATCCGCAGACGACGCCGCAGCTGTAGTCGTATCCCTGCCGAGAGCAGAGACACCATCAGCCCTTTGCAGGAAACACACACGCGGAATCAAGCCCAACATCTGCTACAGCAAGCGGGGGAAGAATCCATAACCGATGTCATCAAACAGCGGGAGATTGTCGAGGCCATTGAGTTTGGGTAAATTATGGTTCCCTTCTCAAATGCTTGCATTAATGCCCGGGCGATGACTGAATTAAGTTAATAACTGCAATAAACTGGAAGGTTATTTTCTACAGGCAATGTTATTTTAACAACACAGGCAATTTCATGAAATCATTAATTCTGATGCTGGCAACGAAATTCTAACTTTATGGCTGACTGAAAACCTTGCGTGCATCATGAAGAGATGAAATCCCATAAGTTGAGGGCGATTTATAAGGGTTAAAGGTCATGAGAAAGTTCTTCTAGCTAGACTTTGGCCGCTGGAGTGTTTTAGTATGGATGTATTTTGCATATATGGGGACTGAGAGCGGTTCTGAGTTGGTGTAAATGCTGCTCCACGCTCAGGATGGTGCGAGGAGTGATCATCTACCTCACCCTCCATCTCCGGAGCAAAGTGAAGCAGACCAGCAGACCACAGGGCGTCTGACCCGACTTGGGAGGTCCAGACGTCCTTCAGAAGGGTAAAGCGTGCTGTTAGCATATTTAGAGAGAACGAAGAACTCGCTCAACGGCTTTTCGGGTGAAGAGCCGATATCTGTCAATTTCACCTTTTTGCATTCGACGAGTGTGTGATGGTCCATTTGCCTCACTCTTACGTCGCCTTATACAAAGTATAGTGCTGTACAATCAAAAGCATACCACACAGCAAAAAAAGACAAAATGAAAACGTGTATGATACAGAAATGGGTTAAAATAAAAAATTAAAAAGCGAATGCAGAAATATTAATAGTATAAAAAGTTAAAGAACAGATGACATCTAATATGACCCAGGGAATGCGAATGCACATAGATGTATTTTACACTGAGATTTAAATCTATTTGTAGAGGAAGCGGACTTAACATACAGGGCAAGACTGTTCCAAAGTAAGTAAATGTAAATGCGGAAAATAGATGTAGGTAAGATTTTAATGTTCACGAAGAGTCTAGGATCCAAAAAGCATTGGACAGATCCAGGGATCGTCAGTCCATTGGTATGGATGACACCAGCCCAGCCAAAGGAGCACAGGGGATGAGAACTGCAACCACGGCGCTATGGCGCCAGCCAAGGACCCAGCCAGTTACAGGTTCTCCAGTGTCTTAAAAATCACTGCATTCTAGCACATCACTGAGAGTTAGTCACGCCCACCATTGCTGTCCTGGGTTAATGTATGCGGCACAGAGGTGAACTTTGTGACGTTCTGCTAGATGTTTACCTTGTAAAGCCTTGGAGGTTGCAAGAAATCTGCCTCGCTCCGTGAATACAACTCACAGCCGTCAATTAAAGTATCGTCTTAGTAAAACCCAATTATAGGCTGAGAATCCATTGGTGCAGTAAATTGCTTCTGTCTTGTTTAAGTCAGGTACCCAAGAAAACCTGTATCGACTAATGTTCCCATAACTGTAGCCCACTCACGAGTTTTATATGGAATGGGCAGCTTTCCCATCTTTATTTCTGTATTTATATTACACTTAATATTTCCTGCTGTTGGGATTTCTCCAGCTGAGCTCAGAGGCATGTGTCAGGGTCCATACCATTTGTCGCTACCCTTTGTGTCTCCTCCCCCTTTGGCCAGCAGGTGGTGCTGGTCATCCAGTCCTCCCCCTCTCGCTTGCCCCTTAAGCCCCTAGTGTGTTTCCCTTGCCCCCTGGACTGCTGCGTAGCTCAGTGTGTGACTCTGAGACACAGTACCTGCTGGTTGTGAGTTTAAGGCTGGCTTGACTAGTCTCCTGTCATTAGTGTTTCCTGGTTTCCCTCATGCTTATCATTTTGGTTTCTCGTTAATTGTTCCTATCTTGTGGTTTGTGTTCTCATTTTGGGTTTTGCTTTGTACCTTTCATGATTATGTAATACCTGTCTTTATTATTATCCCAGTGGCTAGATTCTGTCTCCTAGTTGGCCTGTTAAGTCTTTTGGTTTCATGATTAAGTTTGTTATCCTTTCCACCTGTTGGCCATTTTCCTGTGCCTAGGGATTGTTGATTATCTATTGCTCATTGTCCCGTGTCCCAGTAATTGGTCTGCTGTCTGATCCACACCTGTCCTTTTGTTAACCCGGTTTAGTCAGTGTATTTACGTGCCTGCTTTTGTTTTACTTGTCAGTCAGTCATTGCGCTAAATAGCTGTGTGTTGCTGCTCTGTTTAGTTTCTATTTCTGCTCCCTGTGTTCTCCAGTTCCCAGTCATTGGTTGTTCCTTAGTTGTGTTTAGTTTCTTGGTAATTAATTAATTCCTTATTTTTCCCTGTTTGTTTTCTGACCCCTCGTGGTCCATTTGTTTTGATATATTTTCCCTGGTATGTTTTTAGTTGTATTAAATAAACCCTCGTTGTCTCGGAGCCGAAAGTGTATCGGCCCCTGCTTTTCCCATCCTGCACCATGCCCCGCGGCCGTGACAGTGTGACACTCAGACCCGTATTTCACATATGCGTTTCTCCCTATTTCCTCAAACCTATTTATTTGCTTTTATTGCAGAAGCAGGTGACATAGGGCCAACTATTATTTCCAAGAAGACGACTTGCAAAAAACATGGGAATGATTTTCTTAATCGACAATGGTAGATTTTGTTCGGTTAATGGTTTATTGGCGTGTAAAGCCCCTTTAACCTAACAAGGTAAAACATTACTGTCATTATTTTGAAATGACATTGCGAAAACATAACTTCATAGAAGCACAGGTTTTGCATAATGATTTATTTAATGGCCCAAAATATTCGGGGATTTAGGTTTGCGGCCTTCATCTGACAGAGAGCCAGGGAAGCAGCGAGGTTCGCGTATCTGTCTGCAGAATAATTCAGAAGTAAACCCATTACACAACCCCCAAATGAGCACCTCTAATGAGCTCCAGCCTTCGCAGACGAAAGCCCACAAGGGACCATTACTGCCGAAAGGGGAGTTCATTTACATTGGTGTTATGAAATCCACTTAATGGGACGAACCCAAGAAACTTTCATTCATTCATCCTCTAACCCAAATCCCCACATCTGCCTCCCTGTGTCGACTACATGGGATACTGGTATCTAATAATTCTCGTTCTCTGACAGAACCTGATGCACCATGTGTGTGCATCAGGAAACAATTCAATCTCTTATTTTATGACCAGTTCTCACTCACGTGATGTTTGCACTCCGAGTACCTGTGGTGCTGTAAATACTTTAATCAAAACAAATATTCATCCTGCTTTTAATGCAATTTTAGCTTACATACATTGATCTAAGTTTAAGATTCAGTCTCAGTCCATCTTAAAAATGTTCGTGTAGCAGACATATTCAAAAATCGCCAAAGGAATATTCGTTTACTTTTTTTTTTTGCTGATTCTTTCCTGTTGTTTTATTTTCATGTGTGTTCTCTGTGTTTTTACCTCCAAGTCTATTTTCCCACACTGTGTATTAATCCTCCTGTGAAGCACTTAGTGTAGGCCTATTGTATAACTTAAAAGCGCTATTGATAGGCTATTATGGTTGTTAATAATAAAGACGCCCACATGCTGTAATAGCGGAAAGCGAACCTGAGCACGGTGGGCAAAGACCATAAGCAGCCTTGGGGGTACAAGGCCCTGTGTGAGAGGCCGCGACACGGAGAAATTTGTGCGTGTGGCTAGTTTAGGTCAGAGGAAAATGTCGGGCGGTAAATATGAGATGAGAGTGCGGAGGGAAAGGCCGGGGACGCTGTGCGGAGGCTCCGTGCTATCGGCGCCGCAGAGGAAGGCTGCCTGACGGCAGTCCTTGTCGAAATGAGCTGACAGCCGCTAATTGGGACACCGCGGTTCATCTGCGTGCATGTGGCAGTCGGACTGACTGCAGCCGCTCGCCGCGTCCCTCTTTCTGCTTTCCAGCGCATTACTTCCCCAGACTTATAATTAGACGCGGTGCGGTTGAACGGCGAGCAAATGTCCCTCTGTTGCAGGTGGCAAAATTAAAGTAGAAACAAAAGGCAGCTTTTCGGGGTGCCGTGGTCTCCTCAGAGGGCATGCGGGGCTGCGAGATGTGAAGCTGTCAGCCGCTGGGAGGACGCTTGTCACTTCTCTTTGTTTGTTCCTCTGTCTCCGTCTCTTTATTGACACGATTAGGGTAGGAGTGAGCTTCATCAGCCCTTCATTTGCTGCCCAGTGGACTTAACTGCCTTAACATTATTGGCTCTGAAGCCCTGCAAAGAGCTTTAAAAACATTAACTGCAGGGTTTGACAAGGCAATGCACGCACACGGGTCACACACTGCAAGGAATAAAACCCGAAAACAGACATCATGTGGTGTATTGAATGCAGATATAGGCAGGGACACCAATGCAAATGTCCGATCGTGTAATATATCAACCCTTCGCTTCATGTAGCCTAGTAAATGGAATAGAGAAAATGACTGAATATTTGAATAATGAAAACAACGCGATACAATCAGGCATCGAAACATTAATAAGTCGAGTCCGACTTGTCAGTAAGATCTGTTTTGGGACAATGTGTAAAACAACAATGCCCCAGAAAATTAAACTGAAATGAACGATCACTCTGTTGTTCTTCAGTGTACTATTAATAAATGTTATTGTGCTGTTTCTGGCTGCAGTGTCTAATTGCCTGGGACTAACAGTTTATTTGAATGCAGCATGCCAGTGTGGAAGCTGAATAATGCACCTTCCCTGATGAATTTACTAAGATAATTTTTAGCAACGGGTCCATAGGAACGACACACACACACACACACCGTAATATTGAGTTTATCGGCTGTTGCACAGCGAACTTTCCTATGGGCTGGGAGCTGCATTGTCATGCGAGTGATTTCTTCGGAAACACCTGTGAATATGAGAGTTATGGAGTCCGAACAGAATACAACTTTTAAGGAATGTTTCCCATCAATATTACACAGTATTAAGGCAGTAAGGTTGCACTCTCAAATCGGACCATCATGGCCAGATGTATTGTATAATAAAACTACTGGGATTAGGCACATTGCATAGCTGATTTGAGTCATAGACGCGCCAAGCAGCTTCATTTCAGCCATCAGGGAGGATCGATAGACTCAGGCGTGCGCGTCAGTGCTGCGGACAGGGACGCGCATCAGACTGGCGCTTTGCTTTAGTAACTTCAATAAACTGCGCTCGTCAGATCGTGGGCTGGGCTGGGGGCGCGTCTGGTCGGCAGCCCCCCTTCCCGTGTGACTGCCTCAGTCCTCGGGCAGCCTGCGCACGGTGCGTCTCCGAGCTGCACAGCGATGCATCCGCGCAATGAGACGCGGTCTGGGCGCGCACACCGCTCTGGGTAGCGCTGACCACTCATCGTCACGCAAAATCTGCTGCGGCGGAGAACCTATCGATTCCCCCAAATCTGCGCAATTTACCCGCCATATAGATTTTGCGTTTAGAATTTTGATATTGAGTAAAAAAAAAAAAACAATAACTTTTATAATGGCATTGCCAAATAATGGATCCAACAGCAGCGCTGGCATTCCCGGGAATATCACGAACCAGTTCGTGCAGCCGCCGTGGCAAGTGGCGCTTTGGTCGGTCGCCTACAGCTCCGTGCTGGCCGTGGCCGTCTTCGGCAACTTGGTAGTCATCTGGATCATTCTGGCTCATAAGCGCATGCGAACCGTCACCAACTACTTTCTGCTGAACCTGGCGTTTTCCGATGTGTCCATGGCTGCCTTCAACACCCTCATCAACTTCATCTACGCCGCCCATGGAGAGTGGTACTTCGGCAAGGCTTACTGCAAGTTCCACAACTTCTTCCCGGTGGCTGCGGTCTTCGCCAGCATCTACTCCATGACTGCCATCGCCGTGGACAGGTAGGTCTAACAGCTGTTTCCCAAACGCATGCAGGAAATATCACTCCTTATAACGTCACTGTGTTCAGCTTGTGCATTGTAGGTAATTTTTTACATGCACTGTAAAATATTTGAAGAACAGCTCTATTTGCAGAATCGAATTTCCCCGGAGGCCCACAAATTCATGAGAGATGTGATTAAAGTGAGATTCGATCAAACCTTAATTAGCATAGAATTGTAACCGTTTATTAAAGGAAATGAAATACACGGGACGTCGCTCCTGAAGTGCTTGCTGTGGGAAAAAATGTTAAATTATTTATTGACTGGAATGGGAGGGGGGGCGTCCCCGTGCGATCAAAGCTTAATCTAAATCTAAAACCCTATGGGTGTTGACAGCAATCACAAGTTTTGATGTCTATTTCCTCTGCGAATTTCCTGCGAAGTGTTAGTGGCAGTAACAGTGGTAAAATCCGTAGCCATTAAATAAAATGAGAACATGAATATTACTATAAACGGTGGAATATAACATTCTGAAATAAAAGGCAGGGTTGTGTCTGCTCTTTGCGGACCACTTAAGCTGGAATCAATATCAAGTTTTAATCTATTCACAAGACGCCAACTTTATGCTCACAAAGGTACTTGGAGACTAACTTATGACAGATAATATGTTGCTTTGTAAACTTACTTTCGTAAATTAAGTGCTTCAGAGTTGGTGAAGCGCTCGTTTTTACCGCGTTTACCTCACAGTCACTATGACAAAAAAAAAATAATTAAGACTGACTGACTACAGATATTATTAACGACGACTGTGGTTTGGAAACGAAGTCTGCATTCATTGCTGCAGGACTGCCGTGGGTTCCGAGCGTAAGATTTAGTACAATCTCTAAAAGCGCAGGAATCGACTGGGAATAGAAGGGCTGTGTTTAGGAATCACAGCTGTCCTGCAGGTCTCTGTATGATTGGGATTCATCTATCCATTCATATCCCAACCACTTATCTAATAAAGGTTCCCAGGGGACCCGATCTTGTTTGGAATGTTTGTCCATTGCAGGACACATAAGCACCCATTCACACCTCATGGACAATAAGGGGATGCTGGTCAAACTCACTGAATCTTCTTGGACTGCAGAAGGAAAGCTGTGCATTGTGGGTACAATACACAAACTCCACACACACCCTGAGTGCTTTGGAACACAGCAGACCCCAAAAGGTTTTCCAATTGATCAGGAAATCCCATTTGGCAACGTTCCAAAGTCAATATTGGAGTGCAAGGAACTCCTTTCAGTACTGGGGATCCGGAGCATGCAGGTGGGTGCGGAAGGTCAGGATAACTTATATATAGTTCTACAGATGTTCTGGGTGGTCCCTGTATTAAGGAATTCAATGATTAAGGCAGGCCTGCTTTGGACTTTTGGTACCAGTACTGGGCCCGATTTATTTGAATGACACTAAACCTATGGCAGAATGCCCTCCACCTGTTATCAGGGCTCTAGATGGACCAGGCTGGGCCGAGCAGACTCTCGAATGCACCTTTACCTCACAGACACATTTCTTCAGTCTAGCAGAGAAAATTGCACGACGTTTGGAGGATCGTGGTGAATAAGTAACTTGGGGTTCTTCTGCTGGTGCACAAACGGAGGGAGACTGCGGCTCGCCTCGTTGGAGTTTCCCTGGTCGAGATCCAGCAGCATAAATAAATTAAGTATGACCGTAATAAGCTGTGAAAATTGCTCTTGTCAGGGACTCCTGCCGTGTAAATGTGCCGTAATGATGGCAGGCTGCCACCTGGGGACTCCGCAGCGCCATTGGTCCTCTGTAAACCGAGACCAATCAACTGCGACCGATCACGCCCCAGCCAATCAGACCCCTCCACCCCTGGATCCTGGAAGCCTCTCTGGGGTTCAATGACTTATTTATGAAGGTGATTCGGCTGTGTGTTCGTTAACGTGACGGAACCCCCAGTGGCAGATCCTGTGGTTTTTGCGTTGAAACTGCTTTCATGATTCTTACTTGAAATGTTAGGGCCTTCAGTGAGCGACAAGTGCAGCATAAATGTAAATATCTTAGTAGTGTAAAGCAACCATTACTTAGAGCAGGCATCAGCTGGGGTGCTGTTTAAACAGTACACATCAGAACCGAAACGGAACCTTAAATTGAAATTGTGTGCAAGTAGAGAGAGAACAGCTGATGCAGTTAGTGAAGGTACTAGCTAAGGTACCAGTCAAGAACAGCAGTGTACAGTTTTCTCATTTATAGGATAATATCATCTCAGACCTGCCTGTAGTTATCTAAAAGGTTCTGTGAAATAAGGGGGAAAAAACAAAAAATAAAAATATAGCTAGTTAAGGTTATCCATCCATCCATCCATTTCCCATAAACACTTTTCCAGTGCAGGGTCAGGGTGAGTCTGGTCACCCAACGATGCCAGTGCAACCTTAGCTAGCGCTACTGAACGGGATCAGTAATTCATCTCCTCCGGTCGGCACTCTGTCCTTGATCTGAGTGCAGGCAATGGAAACATCTTTAGGGGCATTAAAATAATTTGTGCATTCCTACAGCGGACAGACACCCCCTAATCCCACCCCCAAGAGAGGCTTTGAGGGTCAGTCTGAGCCGAGCCATGAATCAGTTATTGTTATGGTTTTGTCAAGTCAATGTCAACTCCAGGTCACCACAGAGATGGCTTTCCTCCAGAATGCCCTGTCTTCTGTTTGCATCTTCATGCTGAAAAGAGTACAAAGGAGAGTGTGTAAAGAAAGCAGTCGTCTTGGCCGACCCGTCTCGCTGTCATTTGGGTTTTAAGCCTTCGTCATTAGCTGCAATGGAGAGAAACCGCAGATGGAGACGCATAGTGATTTTATCGTTATCCATAATGCGCTGTTATAGGCATGACGTCAATAGAGCCAAGGTCTGGCTGGGCCCGCGTTGGCATTAGCTAGGTGTCCATTGTGTCACCAAGCCCAATTGCGCGGAAAATCGTACTACGTCAGACTCCTGTCTGCTGCGGCTCCTCACGTCAAGGGAAACGCCGACCCGTCCCCCACGGCCCCCCGCTGTCTGGCGTCAAGCACAGTAATGCGTCCTGTTCCTCCCACCTCCCGGCACGACAAATGGCCCAGAAGCCAAAGTGTTTGATTTGAAATTAGCGCTGTCTGCAAACCTGGTTACCGTTTTGTTTCACCGTGTAACGCAATTAGCAGAACCATGGCAACCACAAAGCTCTTTTCCCACGGTGTAAATGGATGTTCTTATGTTATTTTTTTGCCAAGATATGGATGAAGAGACGCGGAAGCTAGACAACAGGTTAGCACTGACTGCCCGGGCCTTTGCGGGAGGGGGGCATGTGTTCCATGTAGCAGAGGAGACCACCCCCCCCACCCTACCCCCAACTACTGTCCCGTACACAGAATACACCATTGTTATTCATACTCTCTGATGGAAAACCACAGAATGAATCAGTGGGTGGGATCATGTCACTCTGCCAATCAATAACCAGTTGAACCCACTTCCCATTGGTCGCTTCATAGATTCCCTTTGGGTTACACTAGGCAGTGATTGGACAATGTGCCCTCCCCATTGACAACGGAGTTCAAGTTTTTCACACATATGATCTTGATAACATCTTAGCAAACATCTTTTTCGATGTGTGTCTAAATAATAAATTCATAAGCAGTATATGTAAAGTCATTCTTTGGGCATTTTTGTTGATAGTTTGTCAGGAGTTACCTGTGAAGGTGTTCTTGTGTACAGGACATGCTGTGTGCTTGATGTTATGAGAACTTGGCATTCAGTTTGATGGCCCCACCCATCCCTCCGCCCCCGGTGTGGCGGTCCTGCTCTCCGCACAGGTACATGGCCATCATCCACCCGCTGAAACCCAGGCTGTCGGCTACAGCGACCAAGGTGGTGATCGCCTCCATCTGGGTGCTGGCCGTGGTGCTGGCCTTCCCACTCTGCTTCTACTCCACCACCAAGAAGATCCCGCGGAGAACCCTGTGCTATGTGGCCTGGCCCAGGAACTCCAAGGACCCCCTCATGTGAGCCCCGCCCCCCCCCAGCCCTCATGGCCCCCACCCCACAAATCTCACATGTCACTCGCTCAACACACGCGCTCAACGGGATCATCAACTCCCCGCTTCGATTTTCCATCTCTAAACTTGTCGCTTGACATCTTTCCCTTCCCACCACCTTCTCCCCTTGCGTTGGCTCAGGTATCACATCATCGTGACCGTTCTGGTGTACATGCTGCCCCTAGTGGTGATGGCCATCACTTACACCATCGTGGGGGCCACCCTATGGGGAGGCGAGATCCCCGGAGACACGTCTGACAACTACCACGGGCAACTTCGGGCCAAGAGAAAGGTAAGGCGGATCACGAGGAGTCGGGCCTCTGAAACGGGAGAGCCTCTCAGAGAGCTGATGGTTACTGCCTGTTGCTGACAAACTACTCTGTGATCAGCTAATATTCCTGTCTCAGGAATAATAATTGAGCTCAGAAAGCATCTTGGACTCATTTAGCTGATGTTCTCATTACATATACTACCCATGCCACAGGACAACTGTGCCTCAGATCCCATGCCACGCCATCTTGGCTCCATTTTGTCCACCACACTCAATTATAGCAGTGGAGCTTAATTAAAAGGGCCCAGACTGATGGTCGTCCAGGCTGGATGACTTTATAGAGTGAATGTCATAGATTTGGACGAGCTGCATCAAAGAGGGGGAGATGCTTCTCTTTTATGGGAGCCTCAGGCAATGTCCTGCTACGCACAGTGGGCAGCTCAGATGGAGATAAAGCCCCAAGCCAACAAATGATAAGGAGAAGATGAGAAGCAGGGATCCCTCGGGTGAGACCGCAAGGAAGCTCAGATGGTATTTGAGCCATCGGTGCACAGCAGCACTCCGTGCCGAGGTCGGCCGATGATCAAGGCGCTCCGATTGTTCGCTTTGTAAGTGGCCAATCTCACCCTGGGGAACGATCCAAATAGAGACGAAAATCCAGCCCATACGTGCAGCCAAAAGAGCGCTGGGACGGCCTCATCGCTATCCGTCATGCATATCGGCGTTTGGATTGGACCCAGCAGCGAACAAATCGGCGCCAGATGTGGAAACATGGTGCACTTACCTGCCAAATCGTAACCTTTCTAAAGCAAGCTGAAAGCTGGCCTGCTTTTCTCTGCAGGTGAGATAGATCAAATATTTACATTCTCTTCACAAAACGAATTACTGCTCCAGGCCGAGACAATTCAGACCAGGAGGAAATAAGGAAATAGTCATTATCGATATCTTGGTAGTTTGTCATGGACTCTGAATAAAAAAATCTGAATAATGGTTTTGCCAAGTCATCAGTACCTATTTATCTGTGAATTTATGTTTCCTGTTTTTTCTTGGGAGATCAGAACACTTCTCTCCCCCGAGTTTGAACCTCGTAAGCGGAAGTAAACATTGGAGAGGTCTTAGTCTGTTATTGCATCCACGATCATCACCGGTCCTGTAATTGCTCTGCCAGCCACCGGAGGCAGACTGAGTAATTACTCACAGCCTGCATAAGGCGGCAATTACTCAGACCGTCAGCAAGGTTCATCCTGTGGATGGAGTCTGCATTCTGAGAACATGTAGCTGTGTGTGCGTGTGCATGTTCGTGTGTAAGAGAGGGAGGGGGGGGGGGAACCTCGGGGGAATGACTCAGACGACTCTCTCTCAAACGACGACCGGAATAAATCCATTTTAGCAAATTCAGAGCCCTGCGATCTCCTTTCACTCGTGTGAGGGGGCCAGCTTTGCCCAGAAGAGTCTCTTGACCAAATGACACAGTTGAAGACCCCCCCACCCCCCAGTCTCATTTTGGATATTCATCTGAAAGTGGATTTTCTTTTTTATTTTGATCTTTCTGTCTCCACACGGGAAGCTGATATTTTTTTTGCAGTTTTGCTTTCAGACCAGAACATTTCTTAAATCCTGCCACCTGTAAGCATCGGGTGCCCTGTCTCTGAGGTCGTTCCCGTCATTAAGCTCAGAGGAAGCGTGAATTGGGGCTCAGCATCTCAGACACGGCCCTGCGGTCCAATCCTCCTAGGTCGGTATTGAAGCTGAGCTTAATCCGACCGCTCTTATTGTAACGGACGCCCCGATATCTGAGCATTAACGTCACCGGGTTTCCTCTCCGTGAGCCACAGAGGGACAAACCCTTGTTTTCGTCACCCCCTTAGGGGTGTTAACATGCTCCAGCAGCACGTAGGAAATGCAGAATAATGCTTCTATTTCTGTTATACCTTTGCGCAGGTAGCTGAATTGTGTCATCTGAGAATGCAAATTGGTAAAAACAGCAAAGTTTGGCGCCAAAGTCTGGGCACACCTACTAAAAATTAGTTGTTTTTCAACAAGATAATGACCCTAAGCTCACCTTGAGGTTATGTAGAAACAAGGAAAGAGATGGAGTGCTGTGACAGATGACCTGGCCTCCACAATCGCCCAACCTAAACCCAACAGAGCAGGTTTGGGATGAGTTGGATCAAAGAGTAAGAGCAAGATACCCAACTTGTGCCCAGTACTTGTGGGAACTCCTTCAGGGCTGTGGGAGAAGCATTCCAGGTGACTACATCCAGAAGCTGGCTGAAAGAACGCTGAGAGTCTGCAATGCTGTCATCGAAGTGAAAGGGGACAATTTGGAAAAGTGTAAATATGAGAAAATTTTTGGTTGTTGCAGTATTTGAAATGTATTACATAATTGCCTCAAGGCCTTATACTGTAAGTTGAATAGCACAGCTAAAATAGAAACCAATGCGCTAAAAGCGGGTATGTCCAGACTTTTGACTGGTGCTGTAAATGGAAAACAAATACTATGAATGGTAGAGGTGAGAGGTGAGCTTGTTGGTAGGATGTAGTAAAATTTAGAAACAGCAATTTGGATGAAGAGACGCTCCCCCCCGCCCCAGAGATTCAGGCCACTGCTCTGACGTGGAGATTAGAGGGATTGTTATTACAGTGGTATCAGCTGAGTGCTAAGCTATCACCCCAGCACCTCCCGGCTGCAGACGGCCGCGCCCAGAGACAGCTGGAGGCCCCATGGAGAGTCACAGATGTGCTTCTTTATTTGAAGTCATTACCTGGCCTAGCGAGGCAGCGGAATTGTGCTTCACTGGCAAGGCTGTCAGCAGCTGGAAAACGGCATACAACCCCCCCCCCCCATGGGAATAATGGTGCTCAGACACAGAAACGCCGCCCCTGTGATACATCAAAGCCTTTCCACACATCCTCAAGATGGGGGAACGTGTTTGAGAATATCTCCATCATTTATTTGGAATAGTTAGTTTAATTATTGATATGTAAGCTTTGTAAAAATGTAAAGTTCACAAATTATTGAAACTACTGTAGGTACTTGTGTGTGCAGATTAGTAACGAGTGGGGATGACTGAAAAGACACAGTAATTTTCCACTAGTTATACATACCTGTGTGTAAATGCCTTTATTTATTTCCAGGGGTGACATTTGCATTTGTATCTGCTCTGCTTTGAATTTGTCTGCTCTGGTCACTGTCTGAGTTCTGACGTTTAGTAGCTGCCTCGCGTCACTCTGTCTCTCTGGAGCTGTGACGTTCCCCAGGTTTACGCATCTTGGCTTTCATGACTCTCCAAACTCCCACCAAAGGGCAGGAGACCGGACACAGTGTAAACACAGGTTGCTGCCGGCTTTGTTTATCCACCGCTTTCGTGTTTATTTTTAGGACCCGATCGGCCGTCTACACTACTGCCCGTCAGAGTTAGAGACGCAGGTATTCCCAGCTACCTGCCCCTGCCAGGGCTCCGTGGTAGACCCCGCATACACCACCAGCTGCCTGTCAATTCAGCTAGTTAAGGCCCAGCATCCATCAGCGTGCAAAGCAGCGTAGATATTTATGCCGGCGCCGTTAGCGAGCTAATGACCGCTTGCCCCCTCTAATTACGATGAGGGTATTTAAAAAATTAATTAGCGCGTCGCCTGTCCCGCACAGAGGCGCTTAATTACGGCGCTGTTTTGATCACAATCGCCATTTTGCCAGCAAGCGTCGGATCGGCCAACAATTATACGGGAGCGTTTCCGTGTTTGATGCACGGACAATGCACAGCACCGCCACTTAACGTATACCAGGAGGGTAATTAGTTATCTAAGCATTGTTTGGTGTCCCAGCATGCATCAGACACCCCTCTGCAAGTCCCATGTTTGGCAGAAAGATCTTGTTGGTTAAAGGTCTCGTTTACTGTCTGCCTTTAGCTTCTTACCAGAGGAGTTTTGTTGAAGAATGTTATTCCATTTTAGATATTAACATGTCTTGTTAACAGTGGGAACCACCACAGAAAAAGGAAACACTCGGGTGAATGATCAGCATTTGCCAGGGCGAATCGCAGTCCGTACAAACCAGACCCTGGTGTTAATCCCAGGCCCGTCGGTACAGTAAATGAACCTGTGATCCGTACCGCAGATTAAGCTCTTCTGAGAAGCACAGGAGATGTTGGATGAGGAGTTTTACCGTGAGCAGCGGATTAGTATCAGGGTCCCTGAAATGAGGTATTGAGGCAGCCACGGGTTTGTGTCTGTGACCATGTGACCGGGAATGGGGTCAGCGCTCACCGGTCAGCAGCCCAAACTGTCATATCCGACATTATTGCTAACAGGCGGCAGGTCAGTTTCAGTTCAGCTCAGTTTTATATATCGCCTTTCACAACACAGTTGCCCCAAGGTGCTTCGTAGGAGTGTGTGGCCGTCTGTTACAACGTCATGTATACAAAATGGTGCTTGATACCAAGAACCAAGAACTGCAGAGTAGGGAGAGAAGAAAACCTCAGGTGTTCCAAGGTTGACTTCCAGTCGGAAAACAGATAAATGAGGCTGGTTTAGTAAAAGTGGGGTGTAAACTGGTTGTCCTGGCAGGAGAGGACAGCCTGGCATGTGATATATTGAACAGAGGCCGGCTGCCATCGCTTGCCCCTTCGCCCCCCCCCTGTCCAGCCTCCTTTGGAGACACCCAGGCAGAGGGGGTCCCCGCTCGTCCGTTACCCGCTGCGGTCTCGCACCCGGGCCTGTCCGGCTGCCAGTGATGTCACTTCCCGTTAAATACCAGGGATTTGAGGAGTCTAAGGGCCCTCTTCCACATTCCTGAGCAAGTCAGCTGACATTTAAAGCCAATCCAACATGGCCAGATATGCTGAATAATGCAGTGCAATTTTTATGCAAATGTAAAAACAGGCTGGAATGTGCATTATATATTCCAATAAACAATATAAAAAATTATGTAAAAAGATGCAACCCAAATTTCAAATATCAAATCCTTTGCTCCTCAAGTATATTTTTGCATTCATGTATATTTCATGGAATCGTCCTTTTATTCCCCATAATAGAAACGCTAATATATGCATGCACTGCTCTCTCTTACTACTTCTGCATGTTTCACATTTTCTCCCGAGGAGATTTCCACTTCATGTGGCCTTTGCGGCCGTCTTTCTGTTTTCCTTTAAAAGTCAGAGTCCCCGGCGTGCTGCGTAACTTTGGAGAGGAGCTGGCATTTGCAGTCAGGAGTGACGAGTCGCAGATTGTGGGGGGGGGGGGGGGTGCATGGACGCTTCCAGGCAAAACCTACGGCCAACTTAAATTCACGCCACGCCATTCGAACCATAAAATATCACACAAAGCCTTCTGCGAGTGCTATGGAATCAATTTCCGACACAGATAATGGATACCTTCAACCAGAAACTACATTAGACCTTATTTCTGATTCAGTTATAATTACCTTATAAATACTGAAATGTCGCATCACGGCAGGCCAGCTGGCTCTCCGCTGTATCAAGACGCTTAATCTAAGAGTGACGGTGGTCTAGAAGAGCCTGGTACAGCTATTTATCATGGATGGATGCCATGAAAACGTCCTCCTGCATGAACTTAAAGGCAAGAGCAGCTCAGATGGATTTGTTTTGCCCGCCTTGTCTTCTGCCTGAATATCTCAGTACCTGAACGCAGTAGGAAATGCCTGGTGTGGATCTCAGGCCCTTAGCGTGACACCAAAGGACGCCTTGCGGGTCCCCAGCGAGCCGGAGACGGCTGACAGGTGACGGGAGAGCCGCTGAGTTTCATTTGCAGTCCGAGGAGGCCAGTTATAGAGGTGGAACTTCTAACTGCCCAAAGTCCCACAGGGACGTGGAGGGAGACCTTCTTGCATTTCTCGTTCAGCAGAGTCACTGACGGTTTTTGCCGGTGTGGGTGTGGGTCTTTGGGTTGGCCTCTCCATTAGCCAATAATAAAGCAGCGCTTCTCAACTCCAGTCCTGGGGACCCTCTGTGATTGGCTGATTGAGAGGCCATCCCAAAAACCCGCACGCACACCAGCCCTCCATGGAACAAGTTCCCCAATCCTGTTCTAAACCTTACTGAGGATCTAAGACCCAGAATCCAAGATCTGCGATCCATTTGAAATTAAATGTGAATCATATTGAGGTATGGGTAATGAACTCCATTGCAGCAAGTGAGTTGGAGTCCATCTTGACACATGTCCATTTAAGCCCATTGGGCTGTGATTTGTTTCTTGTGTGTTTTGTTCTCTGCTATCCTCCCTCCCCGCCCCCCGTAGGTGGTGAAGATGATGATCATTGTGGTGGTGACCTTCGCCACGTGCTGGCTGCCCTATCACATCTACTTCATCGTCACGGGCGTAAACAGGAGACTCAACAAATGGAAGTATATCCAGCAGGTCTATCTCTCCGTGCTGTGGCTGGCCATGAGCTCCACCATGTACAACCCCATCATCTACTGCTGCCTTAACAGCAGGTAGGCACCCCCTGCTGTCGCAATGTCCCACCAGTAGGGGGCGCAGCGGTTAAGCAAATGTCTTTTGGGGGTGGCGTGAAGCTTTGGGAATTGGATCCTCTGATCAAAAGGATACAGGGTCAAGTCAGGCTAAGTGATGGATGCTTTTGTACGGTATTATGAGAGTGTCTGTCGTGTCACCGAGCTCCTAGGTGTGTCTGTTTACCACTTTTTGTGTTTTGGCCCCAGTATGAGTCTGGGACTTGGGCTGAACACAGACAGCTGCAGAGGCAACGTCCTGGCAATCCAGAGAGACATTCTGTAGCTCTGACAATTGTTTTACAGAACATTTAAACATTTAAAGCCTTGAGAGATGAGAAAGCAACGCAGACTGAAAGGGCTGGGAACTGAGGAGCTGTTTGGCTGCTCCTTTGCTTTGCTTTCATGACCACCTGTCCTGGGGCTAGAGTCCTCTCTGCTGCCTTTTTACGGTGCTGTTCATCTCAGGGCCATCTGTCCTGAGCAAGGTGGGCGGGGTCCTCGACTCTCCGCCAGGCACCAGTAGACCCTGGACAAGATGCCAGTCCATCACAGGGCACACAAGACAGGAGACACAGGGAAACATGCAAACTTCATAGTCAGGGAAGCGGCGGGATTTGAACCCATAACCCTGGGCTGCACTGACTCACCATGCCGCTCCCTCAGTAACCCTGAAAAGAAAACCATTTATTGCTTTGTGTGTTTGTGACGGTCTCTATGAACCCCCCCACAGAATAGGGTTATTAGGGGGGCCGTGCTCATCCCAGTCCGGTCTGCTCTCTGCAGGTTCCGGGCCGGTTTCAAGCGCGCGTTCCGCTGGTGCCCATTCGTGGAGGTGTCCAGCTATGACGAGCTGGAGCTGCAAGCCACGCGGCACCACCCGGCGCGGCAGAACAGCACCTACACCCTCTCCCGCATGGAGTCCAGCATGGTGGTGGTTTACGACCCAGCCGACGGCGACAACCCCGGATCCGGCCGTGGCAAGCGGCCTGGCTCCCGTCACGCCAGCGCCAACGGTTGCCACCGCAGCAGCGTTAAAGCTTCCCTGCGGCCCAACCTGTACAGCACCACCAGCACGTCGCCGGAGGAATTCTCCTGAGAGCTGGGGAAGAGCGCAATCCCCGAGTCGGGACACTCTCCAGAATCCTGGAATGCATCCTCCATCGCTTAGTGGTTTGTGTGACGTCCACGCACCATTCCGTGCTTCTCGAGAACATCTTTTGGCTTTAGACCCAGACAGGACACCAGCAGGACTTTTCTAGAAGGGTTTCTCTTGTTGCTCCTGGTTAATGAAAAGCAAGTCATTGCGATGTTCAGTTTTCACCTGCTACGTGGACCTTATCCATCCTGGGACTATTCAGTTTGCTTTCATCCTACCGAAATCTTCTGTACCTGCAACCGTTACGAAATGCGTCGAATGTCAGTTCTAGTCTTTACCACCTAGCAGCTAGATGTTGACATGAAGGTTGTGCGTTGAGGTGGTTTTTTCAGAGCGACACTGAGACATGATCCACTGGGAAGCCGGGAGCATCACAGAGTGTCACCAGCAGGGGGCGCACGGGAGCCGCAAAGCCGCGCCTTTGGGGTGTTTGTCTTTCGGATAGCCCCCGCTAACTCAGTTAGCATTACATCAGCGTGGTATTTACAGTGTCTGACACACGGCGGTTGCTCCTCCGCATCCACTGGGACATTCAACTCAAAGGCCACCCGGGGCAGGAGACAAACCCCTGGAGCAAGAGGCGGATGGTGAAGGACGCTTCCTCCGTTCAGATATCTGCAAGTGTGCTCCATGGCTTCCTGTCCGTAATCACATTGCACGATAAAGTGTTTACACCCTGTCCAACAGTGGCAACAGGCAAGACCCACAAGATAAAACCAACTAAAAATTTCATTTCAGGGCTTCTGGGAGGCCCAGGTCTTTATAAACTCTAGTTACAGGATTATTTTTTATCTCGTTTACCATAATATCTCCCTATGTCCGTTTTTCACATCGAATTGCCTGTTTTTTTTTTTTTCTCTCTCTCTCTCTCTCTCTTGCGTGTGTATGTACGCAAGTCAAACCAATAAGATTATATCATCATCTTTGGTAGTCTGAAGATTATTTCAGGCTGTAATGAAAGGACTGACTTAGAGCTTATATTAGGAATCATGAGCGTATTAAAACTAAAGTAACGAAGATGTTAGGAACAGTCATGTGACCACCGTGCATCATCGGCAGTCATTACGTGTGTGCTCCGTTTATCGTGCAGGATAATCACGTTGTGGTTTGCTGGTACCTTCACTAGCTGGATTTCAGTCTGATGTTTTGTGTAAATATTTGCAGTTTTACTGTGAGGTGTTAAACCCAAGAGTAAAAATGCTTTTTTTTATATACAGATGTCTGCGATGAAGGAGGTATCATCTATTGCCTGGGGGAGTGGGTGGCTGTCATAGATCCCCCCCCGCCTCAATTTAAAATGCCGACACACTTGGAAGAGGAGGTGAAGGGGGTGCGGAGAGAGGTCCTGCGTGTGGATAATCGTTACCTGCACTCCGGATGCACATGATAAACAGCCCTGGAGCCCCCTCCTCTAAGGCCAGGGGTGGGCAATCTTATCCACAAGGGGCCGGTGTGTATGCGGGTTTTCGCTGCAACTCCCTAATTAGGTCACTAATTAGAGGACTGATTGCCTGAAGAGTCCTCACACCTGGGTTTGAACAACTTATCTAAAGGTTATCCCAGAAACCTGCATACACACTGGCCCTTTGCGGATAAGATTGCCCACCCCTGTCTAAGATGGAAGGTGAGGGTCCATGACGTCTAATAATATCCGTAGCGATCACGTATTCAGACACGCAGCCTATTAAATAACCAGTGGTATTACCCAATCCCCTTAGGTGACGAGTATTAGTATTTAGAGGAGGTCTATCGCTCACATGCCGCGTATTTTATCTTCCGGCTTCATTTTCATGCTGATACTTAAGTTCAAAGCAGACGAACTGCGACAAGCGATTAAAAGCACTATATTATTTTAATGTAGCTGCCAGTCTGTGCATTATTTAATCCAAGAGGGCACAATACTTTTTTCTTGGCTGTCTTGGACGTGGGTGCAGATTTCGAGTCAAAGCAACAGCGAAATATATTGTCGGGAATGGGGGGTTGCAAGGGCAGCAGATGACAAGGAACAGAAACAGAAATGAGAAAGAACATTCCAGTCTTCAAAGCTGAAGTTAAATGAGCATCGAGCCCCCCAAACTCCCAGTACAATCTGCTATGCTGTGGTACCGGAGTTGCCAAGTGAGATGACATCACTATCTCCAATATAACTTATATAGCTTATAAATCCAAGTACATTTGCACAGCGATTCAATCAGAATGAATTAGTGACTGATTTCCAGCACGTGCAATTTACACATTGAGTGTGCAACACAGTACAGTACTCACCGACCCCTTGGGCGCCCCACTGACGTTAATATATCTATAATCGCCGATCCTCATTGAAACTGCAACACTGGTCATAACCAGTGTCTGGGGGCAGCCCCATGGTGTCGGGAAGCGACCTGCCCGGGGTCTGCCACTGTATCCTCCGCTTGAGAGCTCTGAGAATTTGATAGTGTTCATTTAATTATCGGTGCTTATAGTGACAGCTGTTTATATATCGCTTGTATGTAGAAGTATTGTTAATATTATATATGTGCACTTAGTTAAGAATATTGGAATGTAGCCTGAACACGGAGTTCCCCATTTTCATTGAGAAAGGGGTAATTCCAAAATCAAAATGTTCAAAACTGTTTTAAGATGTATCGTATTTCTCCGTTTCTTTTCATTGGTTTGCATTGTGGCCTCACATTGTGTTTGTGGATATGATTCCCATCCCCGCTTACACATGCCCCCAATGTTTGCACTGGGGTAACCACCTCCAAGCAGACCAAATGTGTGGTTAGTAAATTTGTGAAATAATATTTGAAATCCCAGTAAACTGTACCTCAAAGACATAAACCAGTATTTTGCATGCTCATCACACACACACACACACACACACACACAAACACACACACACACACCAAATGCTTAACATTTAAAAACTATTAATCGCAATTAATCACAATGACGTCACGTAGACGGACGCACTCTTTTCCCAGGGCAGCCAACTTCGGTCCGCTGGGTGGAGCGAGATTTTCAATCCGAGACCAGTCTGGACAGTTTTATTACCTTGTAAATAGTATGTGGGGCTTGTGAACTACCCCAACGCTTCTGATGTAGCAAATGTAGGGTTATAATGGAATAATATAGATTTGCCGATAGATTTCTTGCGTGAGAGTCTGAAAGCGTGATGTCACGCCGGACGCGTTGGTTGGCAACCCTGCTTTCGGTGTGCGTCAGTTTCTGACTTTCGGTGGCTAGCAGTTCGGTATTATTCAGCATTAGGAGCCACTTGGATTCATAATAATATTTTTTTCCCCCCCTTACAATCCGCTGTTGCGAAACATCATGAACGCAGCCGAAAAACCCCGCAACCTCCAGCTAATACCTACCCGCTATTCTATTTACAAAATAGCCCAATTGGGCAGAATATCCCCGCTGAAAATGCGGGACAAAGGGTCAAAGTGCCGTGGGGCGCAAAGCGGGATACCTGACCACCCTAGTTTGCAATGGCTTTCTGAAAGTGTGTGACCTTGATGGACTAAACTGCCATCCAGGCTGTACCCCTGAAAAAATATACATTTTGACACCCCTGAATGCCCAAATGTTGTTTTTATTATACAGCTCTCCGTGGAGCATTACATGAGTTTTATAATTAAATTAAATCCCATATATGAAACCAATCGTTGTGACACCCAACAAGCAAAACGCCCATATTCGTGATGGATATCGAAAACAATTTGCTTCTAGTGCTTGTAAATGCGTGTTTTGTCCTTGTCGCTTTGTTCGTAAAAGCAAACAGCTGAGTTACCGTAGGTAGTGCTCTATGAATCAGAAAAAAATATCAGAATCGTCTGATTTATTATTACCTTCATCCTCGATTTCAAACGTTAGCAGTGACATATTTTTAGCTGTGATTGTTTTGCCGTTTACATGCTATTTTGATGTCAGAAATGGAACTGCTTTGTAAGTGCTAATTACCTCTGTACTTCAAAAAAAAAAATGGATGTTTAAATTCGTATCGCGCCTTTTATAATATGTTACCGATGGACCCTTATTTTGAAGTGATGTGGTGCGTTTCATAACCTGCCGTTTTGTACATTTTGTCGATGGCTGTTAAATGTTATAGGCTTTTAACAATATGGATCTGTTAGAGTGTGTCATTCCTAACACGTATTGAATAAATGTGTTTTGTTTAGTCTGAATGGTGGTTATTCACGAAGTCCCCCGAACTCAACCTCACGCTGTTTGCACTTATGTAACCTGCCATTTTATCTTATTGATAATTTAGTTTATTGTGTTTGTATGCGTCTGTTTGATAGTGGGATTTGGCCTCCGGGTGACCTTGGAGTCATTTTTAAACTTGCAAATAATGAATTCACTTTAAGAATATGTAGGTTGTGTACACTGCCAAACTTCCACTCTGGAGAGGCCTGAATCCCGCCATCTGTCTTGCTGTTTATATTTGGTTTCTGGCTTTTGTCTGTACATGTGGGTGAGCGGCATATCTGATCTGCCACAAACAAGTGGGTCGACCCTAATGAATCATAACAGATAAACGGACACAAGCCACTGACACTACTCTGCTCGACAGAGCGAGCACAGGAGAGATGTTTATGTCTGGGCTATCGATGGGGCTCGAGACTCTGTTTGGATTTCCAGAGTCGATCCTGGCCCTGAGCTGTCTGGGATGGCTGGGGTGCTGATCTCATCGTACTCTGACCCAAACAAACCCTCTCTAATGGACATATTGCCAGATTGCAGCTTTTAGTGGCTAATTTGGCCGCCATGGACTCCTTAAGCCCTGGGCTGGTTCTTAAACCGTAGCTGTTTTGTTTACTGGCTTCGTTTGTGGCGTAGCACCCCCTAGGTGTGCCGCGGCAGCCAACGCAGAGAGCGACATTAGCGTGCCACAAGGAGATGACAGCCTGATGGCCTGGAGAGTCTCTTCCAAGCAGCGGCAGAAACATTTCGGCGTCAAAACACCATTATCCCAAAGGCCGTGAACAGACGTGGCTTTACCAGCTTCAGTAGGGGGTGACACTGACTCGCCTGCAGGGGGAGGGGGGGTGTCCCACTGACTACATCTCGGAAATGAACGGGATGACATCATGGCACAAAACAGTCACGTACATCCACTGCTGCAGGTTCCAAATCATAACACGAATGTCTGCGTGTATTTTACATAGAAACGATGGCTGAGAAAGAGGGGATCTATAAACAACGGAGATTCAATCCAACCATCCCTACTGTAAATGACATGAATGAGCAGATCATGACATGAATGAGAAGATTATGAATGGGAAGATCACACAGATGATCTCAATAGGTTTAAAATGGGACAGTCGCAGTACCTGTGGACAAGTAATGCATAGCAGCCTGTTCATACATGTGCTGGCTGGTATGTAAATGGAAACATTTAAATATGTGATTTTAATATAATAAGGGCGAATAAAACACGGGCACGGTGGGGAATAAGCCAGCTACACAGAGCGTTGGGGAGGGGGGGGCTTCTGCTCCAATGGCCAACCCGCTCCAATGGCCATGACATCACTGTCGGGGTTTGGGCGCTGGCCGGCGTACATGTTCCCGAGCCCATACCGTCCTGCTAAACCACAGCTGAATCCCGAAACGCTGTCGGCTGTCCTCCCGTTATGGCAGCCCCTCGCACCAGGCCGTCCATCACGCTGTGCACGTCTACCACACCCTCAGCTTACCCCTGCCCGTGACCCGTGTGCGTTCGAGACCTGCGGGCAGATCATTGCTCAACAGTCCAGGGGATACGGAGGCAGCGTGTAGGTGCCATGGGGAGCCCAGGCGGGCAGTTTGTGTATGTGTGTTGTTCCGCATATGATACTCTGATTAGCAATGCGGTCCCACCGCTACGCTATCCATTGGCCGCACGTCAGCTGACCACCGCTACGCTATCCGTTGGTCGCACGTCGGCTGACCACCGCTACGCTATCCGTTGGCCGCACGTCAGCTGACCACCGCTACGCTATCCGTTGGTCACACGTCAGCTGACCACTGCTACACTATCCGTTGGTCACACGTCAGCTGACCACCGCTACGCTATCCGTTGGTCGCACGTCAGCTGACCACCGCTACGCTATCCGTTGGTCGCACGTCAGCTGACCACCTCTACGCTATCCATTGGTTGCACGTCGGCTGACCACCGCTACGCTATCCATTGTAAGTTTGCAGGCCTTGATCTGAATCTTGATGATGTCCTTTTTAAATCTATTTTTTTGGGGGGGAGAGTACATTTAAAATTCAAGTATGAAGAAGGATAAAAAGCAGGTAAATGCCAAGTAAAGGGTGACCGTCTGAAGGGTGCAGCACGTGCTTGCTGGGTGTGGGGTTTAATTACGTAGTGACCTATTCCAGCAGGCTGATTAAGAGAGATTACTGGGAGGAAACAGCCAGTGAAAGGCTCTCTTATCCATCCATCCATCCATCAGCACAGGGCACTGAGGTGCATCCTGGAAGGGTTACACTCCGCAAGTCCAGTCCATCACCAGGCTCTCTCATTTTGCTTTCTATTTTTACTTCCCAAAAAACATTGCTGGGATTTGTGGACAATTTATTATTATATCCTTTAAGATAACACCAAATAATAAAATAATAATAATGATAATAAATGTTTCGCATTCAGAGTCTAAATGTGTCTGTGCTGTAATTGTAGTTCCTAGAAAAGGAGGTTATGTATTGAGTTATAATACATTTTCCATCCAGCTTTTTTTTAACACTGTTTATAGAGGCAAAAGTGCATCATGGGAGTCTTATTTTCCATACCCTGGTCTCGGGAACGCCGTATAGGTTGTACTGCCGTGTTCCCAATCTCTGTTATCCCAACCTAGCTGATCCCGGCCTTGTCTTAAGGACATACATTTTCTTGTTCCCTCGCCGTTAATGTCTCTGGCTAAATGCCGGCTTCTGCAGCAGAGTGTAGCGAAAACTTTTCACGCGTTCGTCAAAACGCTCCCTGCAGCGACAGAATATTAAGTACGGACTGAGAGTGGATCATTTTAATCAAGGAAGATGAGCCGTGCAACTTCCGAGGCATAAAATTATGTTGAAAAAAAAATGTGTTAAAGAGAGCCAATCTTTCAGGAAGACAAGAAGCAAGTGAAGAAGGAGAAAAGAGGAAAGGGCACGCAGCCAACACGCTAACACACGCTAACACGGCGCCACCCGTGTTCCGGTAAGTGACCTTTGGTGCGTGACAAATTACAGTTTAAACCGGAAATTTCTGGATCATTATGAAGGATCTTCCTTCCCCTTTTCTGTTCTGCCAAAATTTGACTCTGCAGTCCAGCATTTACCATACGGTGCAGACACACGGGTGACGGGACAGCAACCGTGTGGGGGGGGCATTAGCTGGATAAAACCAGTGTCAGCTGACTGGACTAGAGAAGAATTTTAGTGATTAATTGTCATTGTTGACGCCACAATTTTAACCATAAGCAACCCAACAAAATACAAAACATTTGGCTATTTTAGTTTTTTGATTGCAGTCAAAGATTCTTATAAAATTGAGTTTCCCTTGCCAGGACCTAAAAACTGGTCCCCACAATGTCAAAATAACAGGTTTTTATCACATTTTGGGGACATTTGGTCCCCTCGATGTAATATAAACATAGTACACAGACAAACACACACACTATTGCTACAGTACAAGCTCATCTTCCCCAGCCCATAGTGACATAGTCGGCTGCCTAGGGCACCCTCTTCTGGTGGGGTGTAGACTTAGCAAGTCGATTTCACTTTGTCTCAGACAGGGGGCGCCGGTGGTGAAGTCTGTCTAGGACAACACACAGGGTTTGACTGGTACTGCCCCTGCATGCAGGCACTTGGCAAGCATTCCCCACCCCCACCCAAAGTCTAGACCCTCGGAGACAGAGGCAGCGGATGAAACATGAAGGGCTTTTACCTGATTCGATGTGACAGATCGTTGCTCTCGGGGGATTTTTCTCTCCCAAGGAGAAACCACTGACGAGCTTCTCTCCTTTTTTGCATGGCAAGCAATGGCAGAGGGCACAGTGGAGACCAGCACAGTGGGGCCACGGCGGGGGGGAGAGGAGGGGGTAAATGACAGGCGATGACATCGCAGAGATACAGACGACAACACGCCAACGTACATGACCTATGACGGCCTGGAGACTGGATTAGGATGTGGTGAGCTGGAGATCTTTCCAGAAACAGAGAATCGGGATTTTTTAATTTCCCTCTAAATTTTGCTCGATACACAGTACTGTGCAAAAGTCTTAGGCAGTCCAAAGAAATGTTTAAAGCTGTTTATCTGGGTAGCAGGTGTACCTTGGCTTAGAACAAAAAACACAATTTCACATTAGAACATGTGCAAATTAACTAGTAATAATTTCTTCTGTTTTCTAAAAAGTTACTGATATCTAGTTGGATGGCTAGATGAACACCGCTTCAGTTCCCAAACCTCTCCTCAGGGGCACCTCAGCCGTTCCATGATTTTGTTAAATTTCACCAACAGCTCATTTGAATGTTTAAATAAATTGGTTTAAAAAGTCAGTGACAGATTGACTAGGTGTATGAGGTGAGCTAGTGGCCAAGTCAAAAAATACATGGCTGCACTGGACGGTCGCTGCAAATACTGGGATGATTTTAGAAATTCTGAAATGGCTACGCTGACACACTTTGACAGGCATAATATCATAGTTTTACACCAACACGAGGATAATCTAAACATCATTTTCTTTGCCTGCCTAAGACTTTTGCACAATACTGTAACTCGAGAAAACGATGCCGACACATGTCCATTGGGGATTGTTCATGTTTAATGTTACTTATCTGAGAATATCTGAATCGTTTTAAATATGCAAATATGACTAATTTAGAGCTCTCTGATTGGTGGCAGGGATATTGTCAGGCCAATGGCAGCCCAGCATCACCAAATTTGCTAATTAGTAATGTGTGGAAGAGCACTAGCTGTCGTCTGATGCAGCAGCCTCCAGCCCGAAGCCAGAGGCGAGGACTGTGAAATCAAATTAAGGAACGTGTTACTCTGGGGGACTGGATAATTAATTAGAGGGCGAGAGGAATGTTTCTGGTTATCAGAGCCTTCTATACAAGGAATACTAAGATGTTAGAAAGCGCACATTGATTGCT